ATTTCTAACATCCATTTTGACAAGGTACAGACCAGCCCACCGTGAACCCTCTTCGGGACAGCATTCATGCATGCATCCAGCCTAAGTAGCATGTACAGCTGCCTCAGTACGACCTGCCGCGGACTTCGGAAAGCCACCACGAGCTGTGCTGACTGCGCTAAACCGAGGTATTTCCAACAGCAATCTGCGGCTTGCACGGGTGCTGAGAGTGGGCCGCCTCCTTCGTGTCCTCCGTGTAATTCGTGTCGCTCGCGTGTTCAAGGCCCGTACTTGTAGAGCCAACCGACATGCTGCTGCCGATGTTTCTTTGCACAGAGGGTTTCCTTTCGAAGGCATGCCCGCTTAGCGAAATATACATGTGCCACATCACAAAACCTAGGACCCAGGACAGGCTCCACGACGGTGAAGGCAAATGGCGACTATGCCAATAACTATGCTGCTGTGCCCTGTGCTGCTGCCGCCTGGTGATGACCGCGCTGCTGATGACAATGATGACGACAGCTGGCATATCAGTGATAATGTTGATGCTGTATCCGTGAAGGTGTATCTGAGGGAAATACTCTTTGTGGGCAAAGGCAGTACTGACGAAGCTAAGCAGCTGGTTGTCGTTCATGGCAAGGCAGGTAGTGATGAAACGGATGACGACAGACAGACGAATCGCAGTGGTTGTAATGGCGATGATGCAACTCAAGACTGATACGAACTTAATGATACGCTTCTGCTGAAGGAGAGGAGGACGATTTTGGGGATAATATCACAAGTCTGCTTTTGATGATGCTGGGATGATAGTTACGAGTATAAGCAGACGGTGATCATCATTATGACCCTAAGTAGGCATTTGGGACATTTTATATTTTCCCTTATTGGGCTTAGTAGGACCCTATTTACGAAGATTTTTCAGAGGCTTTAAGGGGCCAACCTAGGACCAGCAGGGCCATGGCGGTGCTGTTACTCAATAGGGCGGTTGTCAAAATTAGGGTCCCTTTTTGGGTCCCTGATATATAGTACAGCACCTATTATTTAGGGTACCCAAAAAGGGACCATAATTTTGACAACCACCCATAATAGGTTGATGGAGGCGGCGATGATGGCACGAGGGTGCAGCTAGTGTTGGTGATGAAAGACCGTTCAGGTACTGGAGGTTTCACTTCTTCTGCACAAACACCGGAGTGCATCATCATGATCGTTATCGCAGCGGTCAGCATAATTATCCTACTCTTCCCAGTCCTGGTCATGATTGTTATTTGGGTTGTCACGCATCTTTTCATCATTGTCCTCACCACCATCATCATTGTTATCATCCTGTGCCATGCTGCCCGTGTTTAGTTTCAATCTCATGACAGTTTCCGAAAATAGGGGACCCTAATATAGTAGCCTAAATTAGTAGGATCCGTATTATAAGGACCCCAAAATACGGTACTTTTCGGAAACTGCTATTTCTTCCTGCCCTGTAAAAGGCGCTCCGCACATTGGTGCACTCGCTGGTGGACACTTCGAAGCAGCTGGTTTGGGCTATGCTTTTGCTGACACTCATCATGTACATGTTTAGCATCGTCTTCACAGACATCGTGCTGGATCATTTGGAAGACACGGGTGAGCCTGATCCAACGATGGAGAAGTATTTCGGAACCTTGTACGACTCCTTCTTCACTCTGTTCCGTGCGATCTTGAACGGCATTTCTTGGTATGAAGCGGCTGATTCACTGCGTCCTATCAACTTGCTTTGGGTTCAGTGGTTCCACTTTTACATCGCTTTCTGTGGCTTGGCAGCATCAGAGGCTGAAGCTTGCTATCCCAGTGCATCGGCATGCTTGGCAATGCAGGTCAGTTCGCAGTGTTGAACGTTATGCGCCTGGGTGGCATTATCCCTTGTGAAAGCCGATTGTCCCATGCAAGCAAGGTTGATAGATGGAGTACGTGCCTATGATCGCAACCTGCAGTCCTGAAAAAACTTACGAAAGTGAGCGTCTGAGACAGGAACCCAACCCACATTTTGAAGCCTACACTCCCTCTTGAAATCATATAAGTTTTGCAATGCTGTAATAGCCACTCAACTTGCAATTAACCTTGGACCTTGCGCCCCAAGCTTCAAACCACTGCTCCGCGCAGGTCTAGTACCATTAGTAGTATTACTCTCACCTGTCAGAGCCGCTGACGCCCCTAGTCTATACTGCTCCTCTTAGTTCGCACTATTCGCTGGATAGTACTACTGGTTGCATTTGTCCTAGTCAAACGAAGGCAGTCCTGGTTCGAATTTTCTTCCTGCCTTGAATCCTGTGCCGGGCATTTTTTTTGTGTACGGAGGGGTGTTTAATACACGGGGGAAGTGGCTACATTGGCGGAGAAAATCCTCAGCTTCTTGTTTAAACGCACCCAGAATGTTACATGGCCGCCCCTGCTTTTGTTTTGAGGGGCTCACAGTCGCACTAAGCCTCGCTCCGACCATGATAAGGAAGCTGGTAGAGTGGATGTTGCTATTGAGCGTCTCTCTGTGCTTGGTGCGTTGCGCTTGGGCACTGAGACCTTGGGCAGATATGCCAACATGTTTTGTCTCAGCGTTGTTTCCTATGGTTGGATTGCTCGTCTTCCCACGTGGGCAGTGAGTAATAAACTTTGGGCGGCCGTTAAACGGGCGCAGAAGGTTGCTTGGATGAGTAACAAGTGGCTGCGTGCTTTTGTGCTTGGCGGTAATTCCCATGTTGATGTGCGCAGTGCTTGCAACTTGTTTCGCGTTCTCCATAGGCTTCGCTCCATGGGCAGTTGTGCTTGGAATGATGTGCGTTACACTCCGTTATGGACTTTTCGCAAGTGGTTGAAAGAGCGTGGTTGGAATGAAGCTGCTCCCTGGTTCTGGGAGAGACATGGTCTTCGTTTGTGCCTTCGTGCTAATGCACATGTGCAACGGCAGCTTCACAGCCTTCGCATGGGTTGGAGAGAGTACTGCTGGGAGAAATTTACCATGTGTAACAGACACGAGAGTGTCGACATTGGTGTCGTCTCCCGGCAGACTCTCCGTCAGGTTGATCTCGATCACATGAGGCGGATGATGCAGAGCCCTGGCTGCCGGTCTGTCGCTCTTGGCGCTACCGTGAGCCCTGCGTGGTTCCAAACGTCGCACATGTTTGATGACCGTTGCTTGTGGTGTAGTGGCTTGGGCAATTGGCATCACTTGTGTTGGGAATGTCGCGCTTGTCCGTTTGTTGATTCGCGTCCTCCTGTTCCGCGTTGCCGCCTGTTAAGGCGTTTTGGTTGGGGACCCAAACGTGATGTTAATGTGGTCCTTCCTTGGCTTGCGCAGATACAAGAGTGTGTGTGGAAGGCAAGGTGGAGGTCGTAACTTTGTTGTGTAGGTCGTTTGGTGCTTGGTTGTTTTCGTCACGCCCGCTCAGGCTTTGGTTTCTCTGTGGGCGGCATGTGACTTTTTGTGGACTCTCGTGTCGGGGTCCCCTCTCGCTGGCCCAGGCTCTTCCGTGCCTGTCGTCTGTGAGCAGGGGCCTCTGCTGGCTTGCCTTGGCTTGGTTTGTGTTCCAGGCTTGGCTTGGTTACTCAGTTACTCCCTGTGCTGGTTGACAACATGAGTTGTCTTGCGTTGCCTTCGCTTTACTGCAGGCTGCGCCTTGCACTCATGTCACATGGCCACCCCTCCCTTTTGATGTGAGGGGCCCACAGGTGTCCTGTCCATTTGGGGGCTGCCGGCACCAGAACAAAGTTAGTTAGTTAGTTAGTTAGTTCAAAGGACTGGCGTGTTCTGCAACAGTGCGATCAAAGCTGCAGAACGAGATCATGAAACCGTTGTGCAGTCTCTGATGCAGCATCGAGAGGACATTCTCTGGAGTGTTTGAGGTCCCTGCTGTCTCAGACACCTGCTAATGACACCATGTTGCAATCGAATCCCTAAACCTAATCCAAAACCCCTAAACCCGCAGGACTTTCGGGCACAGGTATCGAATTTGTTCTACAAAATCGACGAGCGCGGACTTGGTAAGATTACACTGACCGATCTGGAAAAGAATCTGGATGACGAGGCGGTGAAGGCATTCTTCGAATCCCTCGAGATCGGGGCTGTGGATGCCTGGACATTGTTCTTGAGCCTTGACGTAGATGGTGACAACTTGATCAGCATAGAGGAATTCATGGAAAGGTGTGTGCAGCTGCGGGGGCCTGCACGTTCGGTGGACCTGTACGCTATTCGGCGGCTAAGTGCCTCTCGGCTGGCAAAGTTCTTTCTTTTGCCGGCAAGCTCTTCCAGTTCGATGTGGTGTTTGACAAAGTTTGTGCGGTCAGCAGTCTCAGCACGACTGGTTCGTGCGCAGGTGTGATGTGTGTGCGTGCGTGCGCGCGCGCGCGCGTGCGTGCAGAAGCCTGCAGGCGTTGAATTTAGCTCATGGTTGCTGACCGCAGCTTGCTCTTGCGAGTTCGGCGTCCTCAGGTCAAAATTCGAGATGAAATGCGCTTCCTCGAAGACCAGCAGCACAGAATTATGGCACATCTTGGTGTGAATCTCGAGCATCATGACACCCATGAATACGAGCCTACGGTCTTCGTCTGAGAGTTTGCTACGCTTGCACAAATCTCTGCATTCGGTCCATCGACCGATGTGTGACATGATAGTCGCTGAATTCGTTGCATTGTTTTTTAGTTTCACCCTTTCATAGCACCGTAAGTGTGCTGCTAGTCATGCCATCCAGCAGGATTGGACATGATTGTTTGATTTTCGCACGTGCTCAGGCACGCGTTTCTTCTCTCACGCAGAGCCCGAATGATTCTCGCTCTGTGCCGTCGAATGGCAGCAAACTGCAAAGCAGTGTAATCCATGCTAGGCTAGACACTGGAGATGCATCGGTGCACAACCAACAAAGAGTTCCGCAGACGTGTGCTCGGAAGAAGGTCAGTAGAGGGAGCGACGGCAAAGTCAGAGTCCGTTTGCCGTGGATTCGGCTCCCAGGTGAGAGCCACGGTAGACACCACAGAAGCCTTATGAGGCCCAACGACTTTGGCCAATGGGGGCCAGACTTTGTCGGCGGCGTCGAGCAGCGAAAGCTGAAAAAGCCGAGAAGATCTCAATCGCCGAGGCCCTGACTCGAGCTCTGCATTGCCTCCGAATCAAACCCCAGTAGCTCCTGACAGCTTCATAGTAGCAGTTGGGAAGAGTGCGCGTGAAGCCGACTGTGAATGGCGCCTCCGTGCTAGATTTTCGGGGCAAGCCATGCTGAACCTTATTTCGGATAGTGGCTCTCGTCTAGACATGTTCCCGGGCGCACGCATTCACTCCAGTGAACCTACTCGTGCCAGCTTCGAGGCCGGAGGAGCCCCTGTAAGATAAACGCCAATACAACTGTAATAATGATGTTACTACTAAGTACTACTCCTGCTACTACTACTACTACTACTGCTACTACTACTGCTACTGCTACTGCTACTGCTACTCACAGCTCAGCATAGTGCAGCCTGGCAGCAAGTACCCTAAAGCCCTAAATAGTAGGATCCTTACTATAATCAGGGCAAAACGGAGAGGGGTAAGCCGAAGCGGGGGAAGGGACGACCCCCGCACGAACTTCGTCGAACCCCGGCGCCCTTCGCCGAACCCCCCCCCCAAACCCCCCCCAGCATTAATAAAATATTAATATTATTATCATTAGTATTATTATATTATTATTATTGTTATTATTACTATTATTATTATTATTATTACTATTATTATTATTATATTATTATTATTATTATTATTACTATTACTATTATTATTATTATTATTACTATTATTATTTTTATTATTATTACTATTATTATTATTACTATTATTATTATTATTACTATTATTATTATTACTATTATTATTATTACTATTATTATTATTAGTAGTAGTAGTATTAGTATTATTGGTATTATTGTTGTATTATCAGTAATATTGGTATTCTTAGTAGTATTATTGTTTTTAGTATCTTAGTATTATTGGTATTATTAGTATTATTGGTAATATTAGTGTTCTAAGGTATTATTAGTATTATTAGTTTAATATCAGTATTACTAGCATTATTAAGGTATTCTTAACTTAATATTATTAGTATTACTTCTATTAATAATATTATTTATTATTAACCTTAGCATCATTATTATGATTATGATTATGTCATACTGATAGGATTGTTACTGGTAGTAGTCTTTATTTATTAGTCAATAGGCATATATATATATACATGTGTATATATATACATGTGTATATGTATATATATAACATATGGATGATGTTATGGTTTATATGGTATAGCATTTTGCTAAAATTAACATTTGTCTATCTTAATTATAGCATAATATTACAATCTTATATCAGATCATACTGTCTGAAATCCTATAATATTTTACTGTGCCTCACCATTTATTACTATATCATGTTACAGTAATAATAACAATTGGTCTGCATATTGATTTTATATATTACATCAGTGCTGTTCTGTAATAATATATATGGTGTACATATTCATATTCCATGTTTATACAACAGTGAGTGAATATTACATGGCATATTAGGACATTTTGTGATACATGTCTGATATGCTATAATTATTGGAATATGCCAGATGATATTAGGTAATGCTGTATTTTATCGTATTATTCGACTATTTGTTTTGCATTATGGTGTTTATGATGGTGATGATGAGTATCGTCATGATGACAAATATTACCCTTCTGATTATGATCATTCTGATATTTTGGTACAATTGCAGTTTTTAGCTTAGCTTTGAGTGGCATTGCTCATAAGAGTTTGTATCCTTTGAAATCTCACAACTTCAGTAGCAGTGGTAGTAGCGGTATTCGACTTCGCCTTCGTATTCGCATTGGCATCATGAAACTTGAAGCTTTTGTCACTGCTATTGATTTCGGTATTTAGATAATCGCGATTATTTCTAAAGCGCGGTTGCGGGTCTGGCTTGTATCGCCTTCGACTTCGTCGTGTGCTACATCTTCATGGTCTTCAGGCGGGGCGTGAGTGAGCTTCAATTTTTATTTTCAGGGTTTTGGTGGGGTTTCGGCACGGCCATAGGATTCAAGTGTCTTGGGATTTTGGGATTCAGAAATTCAGGGTTGGCAGTTATGGTCATGGTTTAGGGGTCCGGGGTAGGGGACCAGGGTTGAGGGTTCAGAAGGGTGTGGTCGTGAACCTATATGGATTTGGGGGTTCCTGAACTTAGGGGTTGGGTGGTGCAATATTCATAGGTCAAGGTTCCTTAAGGGTTGTTGGGGTTCAAAACTTCTGGTATGCATTTGGAGTTGAGGGGATCAAGGTTTAAGTGTACTGTAGGGATTTCGGGTGTAAGTTGGGAGTGTGGCTTGGGGGTGTTCAGGGTCCCGCCGAACCCCCAATGACCCAACTAATCACTAATCAGCAACAACAATCAAAAATCAAGAAACCCTAAACCCCTAACCATCCCTAAACCATGAACTTCCTAAGTGGTGGGATTAACTCAGGCGAAACCCACGAACCTGAAAATCCCCCAATAAAAAGGACCTCGACTCATATTATAAAACACAAACATAAATAACGAAGGCGAAACCCACAAATCTCAAAATCCACCTGATAATAATGATAAGTCCTAATATCGAACCCATTAAGTCGTCCCCCGAAAGCCAAAACCCCTAAACCCTGAACCCTTATTAAAGCCCGAAACCCCATCGTAGACCGCGGACACCACGTGGAGAGGAGGCCGGGGGCAAACCCCGGGGGTTTCGGGGTTTGACAGGTTGGGTTTGGGGGTGCTGATTGGGCGAGCTCTGTTCTTTCGGGCCCCAATCACTGGGTGAGCCCCTTTGGGCCCCAGTATCGCTGGGCGAGCTCCATCGTGGGCCCCAGTGACCACCAGGCGTGCCCAATCGGGCCCTGGTCAAACTTTGCTGGGCGAGCTCCATCGTGGGCCCCAGTAACCAGGCGTGCCCACTCGGGCCCTGGTAAAACTCTGCTGGGCGAGCTCCGTCATGGGCCCCAGTAACCAGGCGTGCTCACTCGGGCCCTGGTTTCACTCTGCTGGGCGAGCTCCGTCATGGGCCCTAGCAACCAGGTGTGCTCATTTGGGCCCTGGTAACCCTGCTGGGTGAGCTCCGTGGGCCCCAGCAACCAGGTGTGCTCGATTGGGCCCTGGTTTCACTCTGCTGGGTGAGCTCCAGTGTGGGCCCCAGCAACCAGGTGTGCTCGATTGGGCCCTGGTTAAACTCTGCTGGGTGAGCTCCAGTGTGGGCCCCAGCAACCAGGTGTGCTCGATTGGGCCCTGGTTAAACTCTGCTGGGTGAGCTCCAGTGTGGGCCCCAGCAACACATTTATCAGGAGAGCTTTCGGGCCCTGATTCCACCCCAATCACATGACATTCTTCATCTTTGTGCTTCCAGATGCCAGGTCTATCATGGTGGACGACGTCATGACCCTGATGGTTTGGGAGGCAAATGCGTGGCTCTTGATTTCGAGTGTGTTTCCCGCTTGGTTGCCAGGTCCTGGATTTCGGCTTCGGTCAGCTTCGAGGTAGGTGAAAGGCAGCAGCATTCGTGTCGATTCCAATGCCTGGCACGGCCAGGTCACATCCTTCGACTTTGATTTGGACAAGGCCAACAGCCTAGATTCTACCAGCTTCCGATTAATGAAATCCCGCTCAGTGAGGTCGTTTATGCCATCTTCGTCATGGAGACAGCGCCTGAGCTAGTTTCGCAGCTTTTTATCGGCCTGGTCGGAAATTAGATGATGGTCAGGTCCACAATCTCGACTTCGTCTGCGAAGGAGGTGCCTCTACTGTTTGCTGAATGAACACGGTAATTGGTGAGATATGGACAGGCTCCATGCCAGAGCTGCTCGAATGGCTTGGAGGCAGCTGCCTTAGCAGCAGTTGCTCAGAATTGGTGTAGGGCCTGATTGTGGTTCATTTCGAGATGCCAGGTCCAAGACTTCGTCTTCGACTTCGACTTCGTCCGCTCTCATGATGCCTCTGGGAAGAGTTCCCCTCAGCTGTTTGCACATTGCTGAATGAGTTGGTTGATGCACGAGAGGTTTGGCACTATAAGTGTTGCTTTGCTTGTCGTGTCGCCGGCCTCAAGTGACTTTTTGCCACATGTCACATGGATTTGACTCCAATATATACTCCGATCCTTGGAACATGGGTTAGGACTTAGGTGGCTGATGCTAAGGTAAATGCTTTACTGATCTGGTCCTCTACACGGGTTTGAGTCCTGGGATCCGATGTCCAGATTCTAAGATGACTTGCAGTGTAACTTTTTATCTCGTTCAACTATGACTGTCGCCCGAATCCTGGAACTCAGTAGGTTCAGAAGTTTAGGCAGGATGGCATGGCGTATTATTATCGAGGTCACTTCATCTAAGTCTTGAGCATTTGACTTTAATTGAGGTTCCGAGAACTGGTCGGCCGTGTGGAGTCGCCTTCGCCTTCGTCTTGGAGTAAGCGTCTCGGCTCTGCTGGGACCCCTGGGATTAAAGGCTTTCTCGTCTTCGTAGTCTGATTTGCGCTGAGCGCTGCTGCCATGAAACTGTGTCCACTGCATGGAAGCAACAAGATATCCAGAGTACTGCATGGTGGTGATGCTTTGCATAGATTGGTTATTGATGTTACCCTGGAGATTCAGATGCGGAGATGGCGCGCTTTGCGGATACCACAAGCAAGTATCATGGACCTGCTGTTTTTGTATGAACGTGAAATGGGACGTGAATCAGCCTTCTGCAACTTCTGGGATATGTGGAAACATTTTCAGGGCCATGAGCGGATTGAGATGCTTGAGCGTATCTCCCTCATATTCCCGCAGTTTGCTTATAGCATGCTGGATCAATGGTATTGCCACTCGATGCGTATTCACCTGGATCAGCTGGATTAGACCTTCTCAAGGCCGGCATGGGACAACTCCGAGCAAACAGCTTATTTCTGTGAGCGAGACAAACACCAAAGAGGGTACGAGCAGTTGGGCGCATAAATTTAAATATCTGGCGTTCTTCTGATTACTTTTGGAGTCATCTGCTTGCAGGGATTCTGGGCTTTTCTTGTGGGTCTTTGTCATGGATGGGGTCTCTCCTGGAATGGCAGAC